TCAAAAAATCCTACTTCCAGACTCGCCGCTACGATTTAGCGCCATGACTGTGGTATCGCCTAAAACCGTAGCGTTGTGCATCTCTCCACTCATCTCTGGCTTTATCTGACTCTATCCGAATCTATTTGGCAGGCAACTTCTACGGAAATGAGTATTGAGAGGATCTCTGGTGACAGTCACGCGTGCGCGTAATTGCTCTTCGAATTGCTGTGATTCTTGTTTGCGAGGTGGAAGTGGTGATCCGTGGTCGTGTGTTCATCCATGATTCTTCATGGTCGTCGGTGGGCCATAAATAGTCGATCAGTTTGCTCATCATTTTTTACCATTTTCTACATGTCTAACCTAAAGCGCGGTGATGTCCTCGTATACGTTCGGGCAAAAGTTGTTCAAGCCGGTCCCTCCTGAGAAGGGCAGTTTCCCCCTGGATCATGAGGGTCAGTGTAAACGGGTCATGATCAAGTATATGCATTGCATGCAAGAGAACAAGAACGACAGTGCTATGTGCAGAGATGCGGCCAAGGATTATCTCGCCTGTCGGATGGACCACAATCTGATGGCCCGTGAAGATTGGTCGAAACTTGGCTTCAGCAATGACACCAACAAGACCACGTAACGGCGTAGTACATATAGATATACCCCAGTAGCGAAGAAAGTGCACACTTCGTCTAGGCTGTTAATTCTTGGTTACTGAAAAAACCTTGACGGAATCATCTCTGTAAATTGTGCATCTCAAGGAAGCCTCGTCGACGAAAGGTCGCTGAATGAAATATAGATATATCGTGCCTACGAATATCTTCATTTAAAACACGTTATATGCGCATGTATCTTCAAAGGACTGTAATCGTACACGCTTGTCAATAATTACCCGTAGTACATTTGGTAGCCTCAATTAGTAAAGACTCACAAACCTGCTGCCTTCCAAAGTCTAGATATAATTATACACACACTTATATATTGGAAACTGACGTTACCATAGGGCTATGGAAAGTGGCGTCAATATATAGTCAAAATAAGATATTGTTAATCGTCGAGAAGATATATATAAATTCATTAAAATTTATTAATATTAAACTAGTTTTTAAGGGCACGATTTCCTGGTATTGGTAGAATTATACAGAGAATCTTGTGTTTGCACACTTCTTACATCATGTTCATAATTGAAATATAAATTGATAAAGATAGGGTGTTGACAAAGTCTTAAACACGTACCAATTGAAGTAGATATCAAATAATTGGTATTAATGAAACAGAATATGTAATTTAGACGCACCCTTGTTCTATTGGACTCACGTTAAGCAAACTTCTTATTTGTTTCATTCTTCCATATCTTCTTACAGCTACGAGTGCTTATAATATCTTTAACTAGGGTTGCATTTTTTAATTTAGTGTTGTGTATTATACACTGCTCTTTCTCGTTGCAAAGACATCTTTATTCTCTATATTTTAAGAATTGTTAATTCCGTTGTACTGGGATACCTAAGTTAGTGCATATAAGAAGCCATATAAAGTGATTCTAGCATATAAACACCAAGCTCATACAGGGTATCGTTCAATACCTTTAACTTTATTGATCTAGCTGTCTTGCAAGATCAATTTTAAGTTCGATAGACTTAAATCTGACAGTAGAGGACAACGAGCATGTCGAGAATAAAAAAGGTATTGATCGGCTGTACCGGTAGCGTGGCCACGATAAAGTTGCCTCAGTTAGTAGAGAAATTGTGGCAGTACAACTTGGATGTGCGCATTGTCGTGACGGAGCGAGCCAAACATTTTCTGAAGGAATCCGAGCTACCACCGGGAATTCAAATTCTCTCGGACACGGTGGAATGGGCAGCCTGGCAAGATCGTGGCGATCCAGTGCTCCACATAGATCTAGTTAAGTGGGCGGACCTATTCCTCATAGCTCCTTTAGATGCAAATACACTTGGGAAGCTTGCAAGCGGCATTTGTGACAACATACTAACATGCGTTGCGCGGGCCTGGGATTCCAGCAAGCCTTTGCTATTCTGCCCTGCAATGAACACTAGAATGTGGGAACATCCGGTTACTGCCCCTCAGGTATGGCATACAGGTACTTCATCATGTAGTACTTTATTGAAAAAAAAAAGACAACTGTTTTATTTTTCGCCAGGTGTCCCTGCTCAAGTCGTGGGGATATAAAGAGGTTACCTGCATCACGAAGACCTTGATGTGTGGTGACACGGGTATTGGAGCTATGGCTGAAGTGGACACTATAGTTCAGACAACTCTTCGCGCCCTCAACCCTTGGGATCCGTATTCTCCGCCCGATCTGCATCCATAGTTTCATCATTTTACAGATATCTGCTAATTTTCCGAAGAAAATTTTAACAACATGCAAAGAGAGTGAATAAACCGATCATTTTTTAATATATTTGACTTACGATTATTTACTGCATGTTCATAACCCGCTATTGTCAATCACATAATAGATCAAAGAAATGTTGAATTCGAAAGCAGATATGAGAAGCAGGTACATTGAAATAATTTTATTCCCCTATATATACATATAGAAAGCACGGACTTAGAAAATATAATGTATCCTTACCATGCTACTTCGGTATACTAGTCTCCCTTTTCGTTTAGTACGTTTCCCAATAGTGGAACGCTTCGAGGAACGAGCAGGACGTTCGCAGTCTCGTACTTCATTCTTTACTATGTACTATACAATATTTAGTTTGCCGAAAAAGGACCGCTATCGACGTCAGCCACCAAATGCACAAGATACTTGCGAGTATATTTTGAAGTATCAATTTCAGTCAATCGTTCCTTCAAAGCGCGCCTGAGTTACCGGCGTAGTAAACCTTCCTAAGATTTGAAATAATTTTCACAAAAATGCTGAGGCACTTGTAAAGGTTGTCACAAATATAATGATGATCAAGTTTCATTTGCTGAATATAAAACCGCTGAGTGGATTTGTAAAGGCGATTTTGGTGCTGGCTATGAAGGATCGCCACGATTTATCTTTATTTCCGATTACTCTAGCTACTACTCCATCGCGCTATATAAATATCACAGTTTACAAAACTGGGGGCACTCGCAGTGCCATACACTAATACAATAATAATAAGTTCATATAAATAACATGTAGATTCATACTTTTTATATCTCCTAATCGTATTAATGACGTAGCCCTGCCGAATAAAGTTTTCACAATTAGTTGCGTTGTTTATTCTTAGAGTCGCTCATCGACTAATAACTGCGCAATCTTTTTTGATCGAGACTAAATACAAAACAACAATTATCTACGGAGTACCCTTGACGATATTTTGCCCTGCTACATAAAAAAAGTTAATAGAAAAATATAAATTAAATATTAAGTTAAATAGAATAGAATACGGTATAAAATGTATAAAAATATGATAAGCGCGGACGATCGTGCGACTGACTACGTTCGCCGAACGATGCCTTTTGTAAAGTCTGCCTGTGGAAACGCGCATTTATAAATGGATATGTGCCTGGTCGTAATCAACCTTTTAGGCCATTTACGGTACAAAAATGAACAAGTCTATCGGTAAGGTAACTTCACGAAAGATAGGGCCTTAAATATCTCTTATTTATCAACATCGATATTTGGCAGTGGCTTCCCGTGCATATTCCCTAATGTTCGCCTACAGCAGGAACAATTCGAGATTTTATTTTCCATTCTACTTTCTTTTTTTCTTATTTTTTCGGCCGACCCGACAGTCGCAAAGTCCATTGTAACGAACATGGAAAAATTACTTCAGACAATTGCCATTGGTGGAAAATGCCACTCGACTTCCCGTTCAAGAAGAACTCTAAGCAGGGATCCGATTCTTTGGACGACAACGCATGTCCTTCTTTCTTATTTTCTTTATTTCTTCCTCGTGGTTTGTAATTCGCAAAGTATATCCTGCTTTACGTTAGCCTCAAGAACGCCGCAAGGCCCAGCATAAGCATCAGCGTGCACGTGGTTCTCGGAGCAAAACTCTGGATCATTCTCGACCTTTTCGGAAGATTGGTCTCTAGATCTGGTGTCTCCAGCTTACGAGGACAGCCCATCCAGACGGGAGCCGAGAGCTTTTGTTTCTCGTGAGCTACCTTCATGCGCAAATCGTCGAATTCCCAAAAGCCCTTGCCTTTGAAAAAGTACGTCTTGCCTGAAAATAATTAAAGACACCGGTTATTATTCATTATGAAATCCGTCGAGTGACAATATCTGGCATGACTACTCTTCATAGACATTTAACATAAAGACTCACCATCCTTCCATTGGAATACTGCATCGATATTATAGCCAACTCCGGCGAACATGGTCATGTCTCTGGGATAGTCGAGCTCCACGTAATTCTCCGATTCATCGAATCTGGAATGGATCAATAATTATTTGAATTTTGCTCAATTTCGGTAATATTTGATGAAATATGAATGCGTCCGATAAAAAGTGGCAAACTGATGCCAAGAATTTTCTATCAATTTCCAAAGTTTAATCGAACTTTACATTTCAGATACATATAACTATGCAAATACATAGTTGATGTGGGTGAGCCCTAACTAAATTAGAAAGTTTTGTAGCTCGCCAAACATCACAGACGCGCAACCGTGTAATTTACTATCTGAGAACTTTTCTTGGACATAAACAGCTCGCGAATGTTTTGCCTTCCGAAAGGCGAAATGCTGAAGATTCGACTCTGCATCGCATGAGGGATGGCGTAACGTAACCATGACTCATCGCCTAATGCGTCAGGTGCGACCGTACGCACACTGCTAGTCTCAAGGGTCAAAGGCCAAGAAGGACCAAGGGATTATTCGATAACGGAGAAGGAACATTTTTTACCTCCAATACATGGTTCCGCTGAAAAAGTAAGTTCTGCCATTGTGTCCCCAGACCATGGCGCCGTCGACCTTCTCCAAAGACCTGGGGAGCCCTAAGTCGGTCAGTGGTCGTGGATATCCGGGCTCCAGAATGTTTCCGTTGAAAAGGAAATATTTGTTTCCAATGAAGAAGACAATTTTTTTATCCGGACGCTCGTAAACGGCATCCACGTGGTCGATATCCTCGGGTAGGTTGAAGAGCCGTATTATTTCCGCGGGATAGCCCTCGTAAAGTCCCTGGTCCCCTATCCTCCAGAGGTACTGCAACGTCAGACGATTGATTGGCGAAGGATTGCAGGATTGTCGGGGGATGCAGGGAAGACTTGAGATTTGAAAAGGATCGAAAAGAAGAAGAAGAAGAAGGAGGAAGAAGAGAAAGAGATTTTGCCAAGAGCCTCACCCGTCCTTTGAATATGAAGACCTCTCGTCGAATGATACTAATGGCGTCGTAGCTGGTATCGCACTTGTCGGGTATTCCGTCCCTCGGCGACGGCGTCGAGCGATGCCGCGGTCTGTAACCCATCGTGGTGGGACTGGTGGCGACGCTGGTGGTTGCGATGGCAGCAGTGGTCGAGGGAGTGGTGTGATGTCGGTGTGGCTTATGAGGTCGTTGAGGTCGGTAATCAGGACGTTCAGTCCTGTAGTCCGGTTTGACAGGGTAACGATCAGGTCGCCTGGGTCTCTCCTCGGGATAGTGATTAGGTCGAGTAGGTCGAGTAGGTCGAGTAGGTCGAGTTCTCCAGGGTCTATAGGTTGTGGTTGTAATTGTCGTAGTGCTACTGGTTGTGGTACTAGGTGCAGCCGCGGGAGGACGTTCCGGTTGCGTTCCTCCGCCAGGTATATTTCCCCACAGCCTTTCCTCGGGGGCACCTGAAAAAAAGAAAAGAGACGATCAGTTAAAAATTAAGAAGGATTCCTGTCGCTGGAGCCCCCACCCCCTCCCCCGAGTATTCATCCGAATCGAATCACTCGAAATATTTCATTAGCTCGCGCTCCTTCTAAAAGGGAGGGGAGTTCTTAGGAGTTCTTCGACGATAACAGAGTCCTATGTTAAATGACGGAACTTTAGCCATGGGGTTTTCAAACTACCCTCGAAGCTGCCTAGGTAGGCAGTTGGCCTACTTTTATGCATCGTTCTCTGTATATTATCCGGCTAACAATTAACGATTCGAAAAGTTACTAGAAAAGTATTGCAAGCTTAATCGAAGGTACGGAGGGAAGCCAATGGGCTTTGGGCTCGCATTACGCGCGGTGTCAGTGCGGGCCTAAGCTCTCGCGTATTAACCATCGCACCTGATATAGTTCTGGCCACGCAAGAAGCTTCGGACGTGCGCCGTCTCGTCCGGCTGCATTTTAACGTCCCCAGACTGCAATGCGAATATCGCCTTACATGCAACTACGAGCATTGTCCTCGTACTCTTTTTCTTCAATTACCCCCGATAATGGGACCTTTTCATGAGAACGACACGCGGATCCGGAATGCCATGACTCCATGAGAAAGGAATGGTGTAAGCGCTTTGGAGCAATTAAATGAAGTTTACGAACTGTAAATCAGCCTCAGAATATACGAATGTTTGGTTGTTGGGAACGAGTGCATCGGGTGCATCGGGTGCATCGGGTGCAGCATCCAAATAACGTATCGCATCGATCACAACTGACTCGCGAGAATCGTTTCTTGGGTCATAATGGAAAGAGGGCAGCACGGCGGTATATGTCATCTTTATGCGTGCCAAAGTGATTTACAGAGGAAATCGGCGGTTCGTTCGCGTCGAACGAGTTTTCATTTCTTCTTTTTTTTTAAATTCTTAATTCCGTTTTCTATACCTCTCGCTCTTCTTCTTCTTCTTCTTCTTCGGGAAACCCCTGACCAGCGACAGTTATCGGTTTCCTCGCAATTTCCGAAATTGCCAACAAAATATTGCAGTGTCACGTAAATCGGATTACCAAATGGATTTACACTCGCCAGAACGAAGCGCTTTACGCAACAGTCCGCCGAATCGAATGATAATGAATATTCGCTCGGCGCCAGCGAACCGTCCGCGAATTAGTAAAACCTATAAGCGGCAACACGCGATTTTAACGTGTTCCTCTGCGCTCGACATGGACGAATATTACCGTAATATTCCCAGCTACCTTCTCCCGTTTAAATCGAGCATCCACTGTCAACCCACCACAATGCCACGTTATATTATTCTGATATTGCGCTCATACTTGTGTGCGGCGGAAAAATTGGCAAGTAATATCGGCAGAGCATGAATTAGTCATTAGCTGCTAGGCGGTTGCTTGGAGAGCCTGGAGTCCAGGAGTCCAGGACTCCAGGAGTCCCGTAGACTCGTGCATATAAAAGCTGCTTGATTAAGCGCTTTCTCCCTTTCCAATAAGCTGCGCACTTCACATTAGCCGGATGAAAAATGGGAATAATAAGGAAAGAGTCGAATCGCGCGAAAGGGGTCCCGTAGATGGCAAAGGGGGAAAGGGGGGAAAGAGGGGAAAGGACAATCCTACTAAATTACGTATTTACACCGACGACAGAAGATTTGCCGCGTGCAATACAAAAAGAAGTGGCACCGGTAAACACTTTGAAATTTAGTTTTCGTAAGCTTGCTCACTCGCACAGGGGCTTAGGAATGTCTCTCGAGGAGGTCGAGGAGGTCGAGGAGGACGGCGGCCGACTCGAGACAAAAGGGCCACTCGGCGGTCTGTCAATTGCAATCGGAGCGCACCTGAACGTCTCTCGATATTTTGCATCGACACGGCGAAATGAGCCGAACGTCTTGCAGTTCTCAGGGTTCAAAGAAATTCCGATAGCATCGCGATTGGCTTTGTAATTTATTTAATTCGAAGGCAAAAGAAGGTTGCCAATCGAGAGACGTGCAATTTTTCAGGAAACGGGATATCCCACGTCAATGTAAGCGTGAATGTTCTAAACGAGGGGAGCAAAGGATGGCGTTTCGAGCACTCTTCTGGTGATTTCGTGTAAGAAAATGAAAAGTTGAAATGCAAGTGGATGAGCGTCCGGTGCAACGGAGTCAATTGCCGCTGTGGGATGGGGCAGAGTCGTTGTCGTCGGAATTTCGATCTCGTCGCGGCGCGAACCTGGAAGGACGAGTGGAGGGGCGAGTGGAGGGGCGAGTGGAGGGGCGAGTGTGGCTGAGCGAGACGATTCTCGAGATGCTCCAAAGGTTTAATTTCCGAGTGGGACTTCTATTGGAGTTACTTTGCAGGAGACGCCGGTGCGCCGCGTCGGCCGCCGGAGTGAATGAGGTTGCAGCGAAACAAACGGTGCGCCAAAAAAGCAAGCTGCAGGAAGCCAGGGAAAGCGGGCCGATAAAACTGAGCAGTCGACGCGACAAAAATAATTGTCCGAGTTCGCTTAATGAAAATGAACCAAACTTGGCCTCATTCGCGGATTGCAGTTCCCGCCGTCGAACGGCAGCAGCTTCTGGGGGCTCGGGGCGCCACGCCCGGGACCACGGCCGTGTTAGTTTCGACAAATGTCAGCGCCCTGACGCCGTGCATCGCGACGAAGCTCCTGTCCTATGAAAGCAGCACGAAGAGAAAGGACCTGCTGTCAAGAAATAACAACCAAAGAAAATAATATGTCCTATGGTATTTCGCGTACCTTCCTAATTACCAAAGTCTTACCGCGGCTAATTCACGTTCAAATCGCAAATAGGGATGACTGTCAAGGACCTGTACGCGTTATAAATGAAAATAGAAATAAAAGTCCCTTGGCTCCTCGAGGAAAGACAGGAATCCCAAAAGAAGTCGTCTGCCCGGGTAGCACGTAACTGGACTATCAAGGCAGCAGCGACTTGGCGTGTCCACGCGGGATTGATTCTCGATCTTGACGCGCCTTGTCTCCGCGTGTCTGCGCCACGCGCCAGTTACGAACACGTGATCGCGGCACTTGGCATCAGGTGCCTCGAATCCTGGACAGTTCCATGGCAGCTGCCCTACGAGTAGTTGTGGCCTTCCGCCGTTCTCGCGTTTCGCTGTGGTTCCCGCCGAGGACCTGACGGCTGCAATTCACCATTTCGCAATATATATGCAGATGCCCGAGGAGTTCCTGTGGCGAACAGCGCCGGCTGCCGTTACGTATGCATTACCGTCCTTCGTCTTTCAGTCATAACGGTTCTCAGAGAGGCCGCCATAACGCAGAGCCCTTCTGTACACGGAGCGTGATCGTGTATAGGTATGTAGGGCGAGCTAGATGCTGCTGGTGTAGGGGAGAGGGGAGAGGGGAGAGGGGGTTTAGAGCGAATGCATTTGCAATCCCTCGGGAATCGCCAAAGCTCTGCAGTGCACTAAATCACTCGAGCGTGCAGTTCATACCCCGAGGACCTAGTGCTGGTCATTCTTTATATTTTATTCAGGTTTCATTTGAAATACCCTTCTGCAGGTAAGTCCTTGACCCCCCTAGCGGAGTAAGTAGAATGTGAGTTCTCGTTAAAGACCAAAAACTGTTGACCCGCATCGCCGTCTACCCAGGTGCCGCGGTTCCACCACCACATGGCTGCTGCCGTAGATTTACCCTGCATTCGGACCCCCTGCCAACGGCGGCGACATGTAGCTTCCCGTTAAGCCCACCCTTGGCCTCTCACTCGCTCACTCGTTGTCAGAGCAGGAAGCCGCGCAAGTCACGTGACACGTGCATCCAGGCACACGCGAGACGCTCTGCTTGTCGCGTTGATTGTCGTGTTGACTGTAGCTACGAATACGCGATACGCGATAAGCGACAAGCGCTCCCCTTTGGATCCTTGGAGGGCTGGCTATTGGTTCCACGAATTCAAACGAATTACGAATTAACGTGGAACCAGGCGCCTCCGTATCTGGTTAAAGCTAGCGTATCGAACAAGTAGACAGTACATTATAATATGCCGTGTAAGCAGAACGCGGACTTCCGACGCGGCTTAGAGAAGCTAATTCCACACTATTCAATGTGGTGAGCATAGCACTCGGCCAGACTCGGCTAAACTCGGATCCGCCATACATATATTGTAGTATAGATGTCGGCCCACTTGGATTGGCTCTGATGCGTGCTTCGAATTTCGGCAGGACGTAACTGCGAGAATGCACCTAATTTACGGCACCTCGCTACTCGCTCTGCTCGCTTAGGCCGATGCTCCTTCCGGGTTTCTACCTGGACTTGACAGTCGACCGTATTCCAGGATCCCTTTGACCCTCGGTTGCGCACTTACCGTACATCTGTTGAATTCCATGTCTGTCGTCCTCGGGCAGCTCGTAATTCGTACTGAGTCCTTGATACCAGGGATACATCAGCGCACCGCGAACGGAGCTGTGCGCCAACCCAAGGGAGTGGCCGAATTCGTGGGCAGCCACGGCGTAGAGACTCGTTCCTGAAACATCAGACATGAGATTCCCGTTTGAGTTACAAACCCTCGTGCACAAGGCTAAGGTTCCTAAGGTTCCTGAGGTTCCTAAGGTTCCTGAGGTTCCTAAGGTTCCTAAGGTTCCTAAGGTTCGGCTCACAGAGGAGCCGTCGTGTCTTTGTCTTTTTAGCAAAGGCCAGTAAATATATTGACACAAGCACGCGATTTCCCTTTCAGCCTGACCCCTTTGGCCCCTTCCCTTTCTTCCACCACGTCCCTCGTCTTTGCCCAGTCATTCCTCCTGATTGCGAGTGGTGCGCCGCGTCCTAGCGAGCCGTATCGCACTTTTAAGAGATCGCCTGACTTTTCCGGACAATTGCTTCGAGAACTACGTGATCCTAGTTCTCCTGAGATGCACTTCGGGTTCCGGAAGTACCCCGTTGCTTCCACGCTCGGGTCTCTCTCTCTCTCTCCATTCGAGTGTTATTCCTTCCACTGTCATGCGCTCTACAATGTTCCAGCAGTATTTGATCGGGAGGAAAAAACGGGCTGAGATGCAGTTTCGAAAATGACAAAGTCTTAGGAATAATTGGGAAATCTAAATTGGTCCTTTAGTGGATCCAGCTGCTTTCTCCTCCTGCTAGACTACTCGAACCCTTGAGTCGGCTGGATGAAAGTACCGAGTAATTTCGAAAACCGCATCGTCCTTGGGGGAATCGCAGGAGAATATAGGTAAGCAGGCCAGTTCAGATTTATATCTCATTTCCTTAGAGACCCGTGACTGAAAACATTTCGGTATCTAGTCAAGGGTACTGCCGAAGGGTACTGCCTGTAACGAGATCGCTGGAGGATCAAATTAAACGGATGGAGCCAATAAGACATAAGTTGCTATGCGTATAGCAACTTGACAAAGTGGCAGGTGGCCATCGCGTAAGCGTTTGGCCAATCGACCGGACAGCCGGAAAACATGGCAACAAGTTGAGACAGTATCGAGCAGCGTCAAGATTTCCGAATCGAATTCCACGAATTACGGGCAAAGTCTCCTTGTCCGAATTCCTATTTTCACGGTCATCTTTTCTTTCATCGCCTTTCCTACCTTCTCACTTTCTATCACATCCGCTCTCTCTCTCTCTCTCTCTTTCGCGTCCTCTCCATGGCGCATTAATTTAATGGCCAGAGCTTTACGCCGACTGCAGATCGATTTACGCGGCGACTGAATGTTCTGCCCCCCCCCCCCCCCCCCCCC